TTATATTTAAAGTGTGCTTCACCAATTAAAATACTAATTGTATACTTGTCTAAGGCTGTATTTCGTTTGCATAATGTATTAGCTTGTATTGAAAGTGTTTCATCCATTAGAATACTATAAATTCCTTAAAATGGAAATCAATGTTTTAAATATTACAACTTTTGCACACTGAACAGCATGTATTAAAAAGTATAATATGAATTAAGTAGGAGGTTTTGAGGAGTCGGTAAACTTAGGCAATGAGGGAGAGAGGTCATTTCAGGAATGAGGTAATGGTTTGACTAATGTATAAAAGTGGGAGGGAGTGTGGGAACTAAGACATCTTCTACAGAGGTGTGTGTTACATAGCATCTGGATAAGTTGAACAGAATCAACTTAAGGAGAGTCTCCTAAATGATAGCAAAGTAGAGTTTATCAAATGCGGTTCTTTCAGTTAATCACAGTAGGATGAAGGAATTGAGATATCTCTTTTCCTCCTTTTTATTTATTTCCCTAAATCTAAGGCACCATTTGACCAGGACATGACTTTTTGTCTGATATGTGTCAAACCAAAAGGGAAAACAGTGTATTTAGATTTCAATTCTTAACTGTACCATCAAACCACCCTGGACTTTCTTACAATTGTTTCCATCAATTGCCCATTCCCTCAATCTACAATGGAGGACAAAGAAGTCTCCAGTAGAGCAGGATCTCAATTATTTGTTAACATTTGATCCATGAGACTGGATAGTCTCTTAGTCAGTTCAGGCTGCCATAACAAGTGACCTTAGACTGGGTGGCTTAAATGACAGAAACGTATTCGTCACCGTTCTAGGTGTTGGAAGTCCAAGATTTGGTTGCCAGCAAGACCCGGTCCCCAGTGAGGGCGCCCTTCCTGGTTTGCAGATGGCTGGGTCCTTGCTGTGTACTCACATGGCAGAGAGCACAGAGAAGAAGCAACCTCTTTTGTTTCTTACAAAGCACTAATTCGATCATAAACGCTCTACCCTCCTGATTTAATTGCCCCCCAAAGTTCTGGTTTTCAAATTGCATCACATGCATGATTATAGTTTCAACATAAATTTGTTGCTGGGGTTGGGGGGGATGGCGGTGCAAACATTGAGTCAATAGCAAGTGTCTTTCCCAGAAATTAGTCATTGAGAATGAGAGAAAGTTACTCTGCCTGATGATGGGAATTGTAACATGTAAGTTCAAGAATTATTACAGGGCCAGGTACAGTGGCTCATGCCTGTAATCCCAGCAGCCGTGGTGGGCAGATCATTTGAGGTCAAGAATTTGAGACTAGTCTGGCCAACAGGGGGAACCCAGCCACCACTAAAAATACAAAAATTAGCCAAGCATGGTAGTACCCACCTGTAGTCCCAGCTACTTGGTAGGCTAGATTTTGAGAATTACTTGAATCCAGGGCCCAGAGGTTACAGTGAGC